GGGCCAGAACTGGGCGATGGAATTCCACGGGACAACTGTTAGCTGATGATAGGGGAGAAGGAGGCGGAAGGGAGGGAAATTAGTAGAGACAACGACGAAGCCGGGGGATATGAAATAGTGCGTGTGGTCCGAAGTGGGCAAATCAGGACACCTCGGATCGCTGGTTGTGGCACAGTGAAACTCCCGGGGGTCGGTTCTTGTTTAAACAAGGGAATTCCGGGCGTCTCTGTCTGAGACACTCTTCCACCCAAGAGTTAAAATATTTCGGGTCCCACGATGAATCCGAATCCCTCGAATACGTCATTTTATCATTGCGGAGTGGCGGAATTCCTTCGGTACGAGTTTATCCGACCGGGGAATTTCCGGGTTAGTCCTGGTTTTCGATGATTGCAGGTCACCGCGCGTGAGTACGTGTAGGCTGCGCAGATTAGATCGCGCTTACACGTGCTCATGCGAGATGATCACTCCGTCAGAGTGCAAAGTGGTCACCAAATACATCCAACCATTCATCTATTCATTTCATGTCCCTGCAGATTGCGTACGTGAGTGGGCGGCACATACATCAAGGCCCTACAATCTATGTTTCCCCTTTGCCGCGGCCACTCCGGCCGAGAATTTTCGGCCGCGGCCGCGGCCGAAATGGGAGGGGGTTTCGGGAGAGGGGAGCGGGTTTCGGGTGGGGGTGGGCGTCCGCACGCCCTCAAAGTGGCAGACCGACAAAAAAATAAAAAACGGGGGGGTCCTAAACATGGGTCTAGCAGGGTGGGTCGGGAAAATTCTTGCGTCCACCGGACTACGGTTCGTTGATGCAGGTGCGTAGAGGGGAAGGTAAGCAACACAAAAAAATAAAAATAAAAATATGCGCCCCCTACAGGTTCGTTTTTTTTGGGGGTGGGGGTATCTGGTGGGTGGGACCGTGGGGGGATGGGGGGCCGCCGGTTCCGTGGGTGGGTTTGTCGTTGGGTTGAGTGGGGAAGGGGGGAGTTGGGGCCGTGGGGGCACTGCGTGGGTTTGGGTTCAAGTGTTGAAGTGCAAGTACATAGTCTCCCACTGCAAGCGGTAGGATACTGGGTACTTGAACTTGGACATCAGGGGCGTGGGGGTTTGGCGGGGGTTGGGTGGGGGTTGGGTGGGGCCTAGATGGGGGTGTGTATGGCAGAGCAGAGGCAAGCATCAATTTCATTCGTTGGGTTGAGTGGGGGAGAGGGGAGGGGGGGCTGTGGGGGCACTGCGTGGGTCTGGGTTCAAGTGTTGAAGTGCAAGTACATAGTCTCCCACTGCAAGCGGTAGGATACTGGGTACTTGAACTTGGACATCAGGGGCGTGGGGGT